CCACGTGAGAGATGAAATGTGTTTTAACACATCTCTGGGTACTTTGATCATGGCTTTGCATCTCTCGAAAAATCAATGTCAATAATATGATAATATAATATGATATAATATGAGAATATGATATCATAATATGATATGTTGATGAAAAAGAGTTAAATAATGGTAACTTTTAACTTTTTCCTCCTTCTTTCTCCTCGATTGTCTCCCAATCTTCACCATAACTGTAAAAGAAAATGTTTAATTACATGAGAGTAAGACGGAATTCAGGAAGGGATATGCAATGATCTTACTAATTGGCCTCTATAGTCTCAAAGTATTTTAAAGATGACATGATTCCCTCCGCTGTTCCCCCTGCACCTGCCCAGGCATACACTTTGCAGGAAGTTCCCCTTAGCCATGTATTGATGACCTCTCTTCCGAGGGCTATGGTGTCACCGCTCGGACGAAGCAAAATGATTCTTTCACGAGAAGTTGCTTCCATCTCCACGATCCCACCAATACACTCTTTTACCCATCTTGAAAAATCTTTGCAGTCGGTAATGTTATTAAAGATCAAAATATATGTGATGAACAGCATTTTTCCTATAATAAAAAAACGCAATGCGAAAGCTTCGATTAGAAAACTCTCCTAGAATGTGATGAGAGATAATCGAAATTGTGTGGACTCACTGTATGTAGGTGTATATAGAGGATGGTCTTCACATCAACTTCATACAGAACGAAGTGAGGAACTGCCAGGGGGAAACTTGCTACGAAGAGATGGGTTTTAGCTTTTCAGATTAACATATTTTGTTAGGAATAGGGGGATATGGAAAGAAAACATTCATCTCCTTGACCTTGTCTATTTGTCCCGTGATGGTCAAACCATACAAGGTTTTAAGCATCACCCATCGTGAGATCCCTGCAACCGAAAAAGATAATACCAAAGCTAAAAAGAATATGAGCTCAGTATGTCTTTTAATAATTTTAAAGTCGTAACGACCTAGTATACTTCCGAGAAAAATACGATGAGTTCAGCATCTCTTTTTCAAAGACACGTTGACCTCGTGTACTTGCAAATGAAACTCCCATGTTGTCCTTTATTATTTTTTCTTTATTCCGATGTAAGTGTCAGCAAGAAACGTTTCACAATCGTGTCATGGAATGATGGGGGAAGATGAGAGGGATACATCTCTTTCACGCTGTGGCCGAGACATCGACGAATGAGGTAGAAAATTACGTGGACCCCGCATCTCGCTGAAACTCGTCTCCCAATCCATTTCCGGCGGTTCGATTCTCGAGAGAAGGTTGGGCGCAATGCGTAGCACTTTCTGAATGACCCTCGCCCGACGCAGAGAACATTCGTTCTTGGAATATCCAATCCGAAGATGCATCGTGCACGGTTCACTCCAGGTGGATTCTATTTGCGCAATATCTGCTGGTGACAGGATCGAGCGAATGTCGCAAGCTTCACGTCCGATCAAATGTCGAAGGAGTAGAGCATCCTCGTTTCCCCAAGTAAATACACCAACTGTGATATCGTACATGATGAATGACAACATCGGTTTGAGATATCGACAAGGCAGCTCCCATATCCAAGGACTCTCGTAAGGAAGGCCGGTGAGGCTCTGCTCCTGTACATCCACCAACTTTTGTTCCCTGAACGTCAAGCTGTTCCATGGATATGGCATCTCGATGATGAAGGTTAGGGGAGCCGAGTCTCCAGACAGACGCAGGAGTGAAATTTCTCGTGCTAGTCTCTTTCCACGCACAGCAAAGGAACAGGAGCTAAAAAATATTCCCTTCATCCTCACAACTGAATGTCTCCGCTGACTCGTCAGTTGGCAAAGACGGAACGGTACTGTGAGACAAGTGGATGTGGTTTTCCTTTTTTAAAAAATCACATCTGCTCGGCTTGCTCATTGTATACGTGGTCGTGTAAACTGCCTCAATAATTATGCCAAATAACTCTTGGTTCCTTATTTTTCGCCATCGTGGTTTTGGCTATTTCTTGTCTGATCTCATTTTTCTTGAAAGAACTCATATCGTTCATGAACTCTTTTGCCTGTGCATTGTGAATGAGTATTTTGGGGCAATTTTTATCAAGCAAGAATTTTAGAAACGTCTCAATATGAGGGGGTGGAATTTTACTCAAAGGATTTACCAGAAACGATATATAATCAAATATATTGGAATTTTGGAGGCTATTGTTGCTTATCGTGACACGTCCATCCTCTTCCCACCTCAACTCTTCTGATGAGATTTGCGTAAGATACAATGAAAGGTCCTGTGCCCGCCTGCGATAACGGTCGGGAACACCATAGCATGGGAGCTCATCTCTTTGCAGTGACAGCGACAGCGGCAATTTCTCGCTGTTCATATCCTCTTCCAAATTATTCCAATATTTCCAAAGCTTTGACGTTGGGCGTTGGCATGGTGTTGATGCATGCTGCGAAATTGTGCTGCCTGGGTTCTCCATCGTTGGACTTGTCTCAATAAGGTATTGTGTACTTTGCCCGTCCGCGGTATTGACAAGCCCTTCAAGAATAATACATATAATGATAACAAATGAATAAGTTAGGGGAAGCAGAGGAGATAGGGATGTACAATCGATCCATCACCTGCAAGTCCTCCAATGCCATTCAACAATTGTGGGCATTAAGAAATCATACTTGACGTCATTCCCCTCAGCTCCGACGAAAATGAGGGAAATGCTTGGGAAAGGTACACTGAC